GTCTTAGGGTGATGTTACACTACGAGACAATTCGCAACGACGATTTTTAGCGTAACACAGCTTTGCAAAATCGTTGCGACATTGTTTCGTTTGGTTACAACACTGTTCAAACATTGCAGCGCTGTGTTGTACTAAAAACCGTCGTTGCGAATCGTCCCGTGTGACATCACCTTTAGGTGCATATTATGATACTACGCACGGGTTATAAAAATTCACAATACTGAAACCGATGATGCTTTAAAAGTAATAATGTCTGTACTAAGAAATTGCTCAAATTTTTTGGAAGTACTATTTCAGAATTAAACTTTTTTAAACTGAAATTATATTTTTGGAACACGAAAAAATGTTGTTATGTTTGGACCAAACAGAATTGCTTTTATCTTTTCCAAATTTGAGTCTTAGTAAATGATGTATTATTTGTATATAATTTTAAACTGACGCTTAATAACATTACTTTGACAATGTCGTTTATTTCGTAAACAATTGACGAAGGCAAAGTCATAATACAATAAAGATACCTTTTTTAGCAAAAAATTTGTTCATTGTCAAAAGATATTAACGATAAGTACATTTTCCGCCGCGAGCACAACAATCATTCTTTATATATTAATTTTACATTCCGAGAAGAGCATTTCCCTTTTTTTTTGGCGTACGTACCAAGTTATTTAAAAGTGCATATAACCTGTTTATCTCACATCTCAAAGCTCTGCGACCTCAACTTATTTCTGACATTTGTATTCGCTGTTTTTCCAATGACCTTCCATTTAGTGAAATAATAAAAAAAACAGGAAAAAAAAAGTAAAGCTCGAACAAAAATGTCAATCAAAAAAGAAAAAAAAATAAAAGTTGACATTAGCCGGCTGTTCAGAGGAAAGTACTAGCTTTGATCTGAAGGCCCAACACTTCAAACTTTCATTTGTATGCAAATAGACTGCCCCGGGAGCGTTAACTTTCTTCACTCAGATTGTGCCGACAGTTGAACTTTACAGGCTTTAAGCTCACAGGTTCTGTTTTTGCAAAGCCACATCAACCTGTTAACAGTGTCAAATCTTAATCAAATTCTCGAGATAAATCTTGTTTTATTACAAGATCTAAACACCTATATAATTAATTTAAAAGCTCCAAGTTTGTCAAAAAGGCCGCCACAGATTTTCCTTCCGCTGTGCCCTCCCAAAAATATTATATGGGCAAAGGAATTAACATTTCGCAGAACGAAATACAGAATTTGCACGCACAATTTTGCAGCAAATGAAGAAATTTCATTTTTGCAAGATGGTGAAAATACGAAGCTTTACGTCATGGCGTACTTTGCAGTTCACTTTTGCATTTAAGGATGTAGTTACAGACTACAAATATTGATGGACCAACTGTGATAGGTGAATTAATTTGATCTCATTAAACAGTCTAAAGATTAGTTCCCAGTTATTTGACGCGGCTGGGGACATCTTCAAGAGTTGAATAAAAACGATTACTCGGTTTTTCCACAGATTCAAATAATATTCGCGACCTATTAGGATTCGATGCTGACGGGACCGTAAATGTTGTGTTTTTCCTTTTAATTTAATTACCCCTTCAAAGGACCTTAAGGTAACTTCCAGTACATAGCCATTTCTGGTGCATCTTTATAGAATCAGTTACAACAAGGAAATCAGAAACATGATGCCGTTTTGATGAAGGCCATATCCAAACACTGCGATGTAAGCTTATGTAAGTGAGATCAGTCAACTTCTCATTAAAGCGATTTTTTTTCTGCTTGAGATCAAATATGCACATTTTTCTTTGCGATCCTACTTTGCTGAGCTGTAACAGTTACAAGGCTATATGTTTAAATGTGTATTGTGTGGATTTGTTTGCTTGATTTCTAGATGATTCCTTTTTTTTATTATTATCTGCCGATCAACTTTGTTGACACCTGCCTAGAAAAGCGCTTGAAACTAGAGTAGTGCTGTTACATTTTATGATTTGAAAGTTAGTGCACTCCTTTACGTTGAAGAAACGTAAGCATCAATGCTCGAAGTTTAACTCCCAGGTTATTGTAGAACGTACGCAACCCATTTGAAAGGAACAATATGCTGACGGTTCGAAACCAATAGTTTTCTTATTTCTAGAAAGGTTTTTTAGCTAATTTAACAACAGGGTTCTTTTCTTTTCTTTAATTAGAATTTGTTAAGACAACTAAGGCCTATATTTAATTGCGCACAAACAATTTTCTGCGGCGCCTTCCTACTGGTAGTTATTCGTTTAGCCTCTCGTCCCACTTAATCTTTCTCGGAGGACGACTCGAGCGGAAACGCGCGCTTTGTACTCAAGCTACCGTTAGATTGTTTCGTTTTCTTGTTTGTTTGTTCGCAGCTGAACGAAGATCTGAAAAATTTAACTTCATATTACAGGTGAAAACTCTGTCGCGTATGATTAATATACAGAAATCTCTAGCTCTTTAGCTTGTATAACTGCCTTCAGAAGTAATGACTTTAATTGAATATGGTAGATAATTTATTTGCATTTATCTTAATATCTTATTGACTTGCAATTGCCGATGTAGAATGGAAGAAACCCTTAATACTGGTGTGTATCGCCTATCTTCCTTCAGTTTTTTTAAAAAGAATACCGCAAATTGTTTTTATGTTCAGTGTAAAAATAAGGAGCAGCATAAGATGTATATGATTATGCAAGACTGAAATCAGCGGTGACGCATGTAGTAATTGAAACAGTTTAAATCAGGTTTGGAAAAAACTGAATTCATGGCAGGACGGGGACAACTAACCAAGGAAGCTAAACTTACTTACAATAATAAAAGAAAGTTTTAATAACCTAAAAATTCGTAAATAAAATTTTGACAACCGGAAGGCAGTGAATTTTGAGTTGAGGGTGCGATTAGAAGATCCAGGTTCTTTATGTAGACCGGGTCATCCACCAGATTAGCCTTTGCTATTTGGATGATCCCAGCTCGCTCTCTATTTTGTTGTTACATTTTTCTTTTATTCCTTAGTTGAACTGTGTTTAGTTGCCTATGTAAATTTAACCTTTATGTCATGTAAAACTGAGTGGAGTTTAATAAATATCTTGTCTTGTCATGTTTTGGTCATAGACATATATTCCTGTGCGACTTGCCTTCATAAGGTTGAGGCCTGCATCAGTTGTGTGGCTTCCAGCCCTGATTTATGAAGTGAACAAATGTGCAAGACAATTATCGTAAGGGTTTAAGGGAGCCTTGCAAAGACCTCTCCTGCAAGCTAGGGAGCTGCTATCAGCTCACTTGTGTGAAGTTATAAAATCAAAGGGTGACAAGCAACTTGTTAATTTTTTTTTTTTATGGCAAACTACACACTGTGAGGAGTCTTCACCTGGGTGAAGATCACTGACCCAGACAACGACTTCTTTTTAACCATTCAAAGTATAACCGAGTGTCTACTATTCTCAGTCGCTGCTGAGCAATTTCTTAACCACAGGCGACTTCTTAGGTTGAAATCGAAGGTTTTCAGCGCAGCCCATCAAAATTTAACTTAGTTTTAGGCCCTGTTCGTTACAGTGGTTGTAATATCCTGAATATCCCTTTACATATAAATTAGGGATAATGGCGAGTTTTGTAACTGTTTTTCAAAATAACATTTTTTTGCATTTTAAGAGCAGTTTTAGATTTAAATGTGTAGAGATTTCGGTATAGAGACAAAGCAATCGTATTTTGTCGATATTCAATATCAAAAACCCTCAGGAGATCATCTATAAACTACATTAGCCTTTTATATTAAAAATACCTCAAGAAATATTTCCAGCTAGCACCTTCACTTATTAATTAGAATACTTTAAAACGTTTGCCTATAACCGACCCTTTAGGGTATAAGCTTTAATAGCTAAACGACATGAATTCCCACCCTTGCGGAGAAACTTAAAAATCAGTCAATTGTCATTAAATACAGTGAATTAAAAACATTCCAACTTATTCCGGCGCCGTTAACGAGACGTTTTGGCTTCGAAGAGAGTCGTTTTCAGATAAATGCGTCTGTCAATGCACGAATCAATCACTCAAGAACTATCGGATATAATAGAAGAAGATTATTTGCGCAGAGATATCAAAACTTTCTATCCAGAGAAAATCAGCTGTTTTGTAAAGCAGTTATGCTTCGTAATTTGAAGTTTTTATGTTTTTCTTTTTCTTTTCTTCAACTAGCGCATCTTCATTTTCTGATTTTAAAAGCCTTTAATTTTTTATATAAACCCTCATATATACAGCTCTAGGCGAATTAAACAATTAGTTCGTTGATTCGTTGACTTGTACCATACTTGCTATCACAAGGAACTTTTAGCTACTTGGCCTTGGAAGCGCTATTTTATCAACAACTGTCAGTTCTGCAATAAAGACAATCTTATCTTAATACTAAAACTTTTGCTGTTACAAAAGAATGAATCAGAAAGTATATAATGGTAGCTCGATAGCTGTTGGTAGATCCGAGTGGTGCGTAACTTACTTCAAAAGTTCTTTTCGAGCCGAGTTAATAAAAAATATTTTTATCCAATTTGTTATCACACCCTTGGATTCATCCCTAGACCTTTTATTTCAAATTTCTACCAACACTTTTATTATCTGAAAAAGGCGTGTGAGACTAACAGCTAGACAATACGAGAATAATATTCCTCAATAGCTTATGTCGGTGAGCTTTTCCCTATAGCTAGTTCAAATCGTGCCCAGTGGCTATACCGAAAGAGTATAGGAAAACACCGTTTCTTTACGGATACCGCCTATTATCGATATTGTTCTATTTTCTCGCTTTCAGCTTAATTGAGGAAACGCTAACAGCATCTCAAGTACTGCAGATTAAACTAATTAACCGAGGTTCCAAAGTACGGTTAACTTTCCGACACCTATCAACTTGGCGTCATGTTTTTCAAATAAATCACAGCACACCGCTTTAAGTTATTTATAATCCACTTACACTCCAAGTACCAGTCATAAGAAGAACTATTGCCATCATCACTTGCGACGTGGAAACGGTCATCTAACCATGAACAACAGCACTGAACCCAACCCAACCACTACAGGGACCGACGCAGTACCCAGGTTTCCTCCATCCTTCGTGTATCCAGTGGCGACGTGTCACATCTTAATTGTCGCAGTGGCAGTCCTTGGAAACCTCATAGTTTGTTACGCAATAATCACTAACAAAAGTCTCCGAAGCAGCCCAACAAATTTGTTCATTTTCTCGTTGGCGTTCTCTGATCTTTTTACTGCAACATTAGCGGTACCATTTGACATAGAAGGCCTTTTCCTTAACTTGACTTGGAAGCATGGAGAAATAATGTGCCAGGCGTGGATTACAGTTTACCTTATCTCTGTACCCACGTCTATTTTGACCCTTTTGGCTGTGAGCGTGGATTGTTACAAGAGCCTTAAGGATCCCTTGAATCGATTTCGCCGCTTCCGATTTATGACACGAAAGAGAGCTTTAATTATTATTTCTGTCATCTGGCTTTACAGCTTGGTTTTTGCTTTAATTCCCGTCATGGGCTGGAGAACATATGACGAGTTTGTTTATGAGGGAATCTGTTCCTTTCCTTTTCATGACATTTATTCCACTCTCAGCTCTTGTCTAAATTTCATTATTCCACTACTGGTAACGTGCGGTATCTACGTTCAGATTTACCTCATAGCGAGGTCTCAAAGCAGCACTTTTGATAAAGAGATCTCACGACAAATGCGTACGACGGAAGCCTGTTCACGACAAACGCGTTCTACTGAAGAAAAGAAAATCTATTTAAGGAACATTCGAGCGGCCAAGACTATCTCCATCTTTGTAGCCGTGTTTTTCTTTTGCTGGGTTCCTCACTCTGCCATTAGCATCAGTGCCAATCTCTGTCAATCATGCCAAGCTAAAATCCCAAATGAAGTTGGTGTTCTAGTTTTGATGTTTGGATACCTTAATTCTGCCCTCAACCCATTTCTTTTCGCTTTTCGAAACAAAAGATTCAAGGCCGCCTATTCAGCATTGCTGCTCACGATGAAAGCTAGACCTCTATTTCCACGCAGTTTGAGACGTCGCTCTACTTTAACAGCTAGTACTTTGCATCCTGAACTTCCAGATCTACAAGATAGCGTGGTTCGCCTACAGTTGGCTAAAACGAAACGAGAAAGCTGAGCAGACAAAAGACAGTCTGCTCTACGAGCTTCTGACTCCATAGTTCTTAAAGACGTTAGCATCGGAAACAGAATCATGACTAACAAAATTTTAATTTTTTTGAGGTCAATGCTTAGTTGTCTTTGGGGTGGGTCTAAATGGGTTTATTGTTTATGCCGACTAAACAAAATAATATTGGCCATTCTGGAGCCGTTTTTGTTTAATCTTTCTGGAAAAAAATTACTTTTAAACCAAGCTGCTGGTGTTGGGCACACGTCAGATGCTTCAGAGGCTGCCCGCTGATTTTCATGTCACTCTCCTTGGAACGAAGGTCACTCCATCTCCTTCTGCTCGGGACCTTGGCCTGCAGGTGGACAGCACTCTAAGCTATGATGAACATGTCACCCAAACAGTGTCCTCGTGCATAGGTAGCTTATGTCAGATTAATAGGGTAAAGCATCTGTTTGATGCTAGGACATTAGAACGGGTTATAAATGCCTTAGTGTTTAGCAAGTTATACTACTGTTCTCCGGTGTGGTCTAATACTTCAAACAAAAATATCTCGAAGCTGCAGAAAGTTCAGAATTTTGCTTGTAGAATTATCACTGGAAAGCGGAAATTTGATCATATAACACCGGCATTAAGAAAGCTAAGGTGGCTCCCCGTGACCAGTTTTCTTAAATATACACTTGGAGTTTTAGCATTTAAATGTGTTAAGGGGTTAGCCCTTAGCTACCTTTGTCATAGATTTAAGAGTGAGTCCATGGGTGCACCAGGCAGGTGTGCTACATGCTATCTCTCCGATTTCAATGAAACTTGGCCAGTTTAAAGGGTCTACCCCAAAACTCAAAATGACAAACTGGTTCACAGTTTGGATCTTTATGGTGGGAGATAGCCCACCCAACTGGTTTAATTAGATTTTTTACCAATAAAAGTGCATTAATAACAGGCAAAAGTAGAAAGCTCTCAGGACAAGTGCTTTTAACCTTTGACTATGAAGGTTTGTATATATGTTGATACATCATTGACCAATGCAAGGATGTAAGTTTCAGTCAATTTGATCGACAGCTTGTCAATCACTGGCCTTGAATGTGGGACCACCTTTTTAGCCATTCAAATACTTGCTGATTTTGAGATCAAATATCTCTCCTTGCCAGAAAGCTAAGACAATAATTTTGCTATTCCCTATTTACCACCCGTTTGGTCTACAATAAACATAAAAAACATTTCTGGGCTCTTCCTTTTTTGGCTGTCAGATGCCACTTGAAAACTGCCCCTAAATCAAGCTGATTTCCACTTCACATGTCCAATAATTCAGCAATTAACGGCCGCTGAAGTTACTAAACCGTTACTTTCCAGCACGTTATACAAGAATAATAATTGGGGAGTTAATGCATGCTTAAAACGTTCGAGATTTTGCGAGAAAATTAAAAATTTCACACTGATTAGTGATGTATGTCACCAAAATATCGAAGGCAAAATCGTGATGTTTGTGACCTCGTTTTGATTTTCTCACAAAATCAGAAATTATTCTTCTTAGAAGTTAAACTATACAGAAGTCCTTCATTCAACAAGTGTTATGGTCTCTACTGTGACAAGACCAAGCTGTTTTTAATTTCCTGGAGAGATTTCAAGGCCACATGGCTCACGGTTGTTGACAAGCTTTGAATCACGCCAGTATAGCACTAGTCACAAAATATCGTCAACTCGCACATTTAAAAACAACATTCAATGATGAGAAATTCTTCCTTATAGCGATAAAGAATTACGCCTAAAACGTTCGTTAAGTTGAGGCTACAACCTCAGAAAAAGAATAGTGTTAGTTTTACTTACCGCCGTCGATCTACGCAGAAGTATTATGTGCTGCGTGACCAGACAATATTTGTTTAGAATCCACTTCTTTGCCTCCCAAAGGCTTTCAGGAGGTCCTGCTTATCTCTATAACTATATTTATCTCCTCCTATCTTCATTTTTTTTTTACAAATGCAAGTTTTTCGAAGATATCTGTCACTCTCGATCAAGATTATTTACAACCATGTATTACGTGACAAAAAGAAAGAGCCTGCAATGTTTTGATCAGCGAATTTCCCGCGCCTTCCCCGGCAACTTGCATATATTCTAAACAATTTTCGGTTGTCTAAACAGGGAGAAAGAATGAATAAAACTAAGCCTAAAAGAAATAGCTGCGTTGACCAGAAATCTGCCGAAATCAAGTCAACACCCTTCTCTGTTGAAAAGCTACCCTTCCTGCACGCTTATTCCACTTGATAAGAACTTGGGAATTCGACCAATAGGAGTCAGCGAGGTTTTGAGACGAATAATTGGCAAGACCATATCCACCTTCTTAAAGGAGAAGGAGGGGATCGATGGCCACAGTGCGGGTGCCGAGGCCACCATATATATATACACGCCAGGGCCCAGACTTTTGATGATGATGGTACAGACGGAATCCTGTTGGTTGACTGCGACATCCAAATTACTTGCCCTGAAATGTCCATATCATCAACACGTACAGAAGTTCCTCGAGATTGTTCACCTGTGGAGAGGAAGAGATCTTATCCCAGGAAGGGACAACACAGGGTGACCGTCTAGCAAAGCCATGGTATGTGATTAACACATCCATCTTGATTCAGAGCCTAAGAGCGCGTATACCTGAAGTTAACCAAGTACCGTAAAGTTCCGATAGTAACAACCCTCCCCGAAAGTAGCGACCCCCCGAAAATAACGTCAATTTTTTGTGGCCGCTAGTAAGTCCCGTAGGTAGCGGCCCTTCGAAAGTAGCGACCCCCCCCAGAAAGTAGCGAGACCAAGTTTTTTAAATGTATATTGTATACCTTTAATTTGTCAATCAATAGTCAAAATTTTAATGTACAATAATATGTTCGTGCAGTGTCACAAAATGTTCACGATAAGTTACTTTAATTTACAACTAGGGGCAGCTTTATGCCCCCATTCGTCCTTAACATCAGTTCACTGATGTAGCGATGTAAGAACTAACGTAAACAGGCATAATTTAGTATTAACAACAGGAACGTTTCTTCAAATTGAAAGTGAAAAGTCTATATAGTTTTCGTCGATTAACATGAACGTCTTTCTTCCAATTAAATGACACTGAGATACCGGTACGGGGTACAGACTAAAACGCAGCGGTGCGTCATGCAGGCCAATCGAAGCAGTTTAGCTTTCCACCTCTGAGTCACTGAAGAAGTCGATCTCCTCTATATCGGCTGATTCACCCATGTGGTAGTCCGGTAAACCATCGATACCATTGGAAAAAACGCTCGCGCCAGCTCTATTTGTAAACGATTTTTGTTCCCCGAAAGTAACGACCCCCCAAAAGTAGCGAGCCCCAAAGGCTGCTAATTCCGAAAGAAACGAGGGTCTCTACTATCGGAACTCTATGGTATGACTGGCTGATGACTGGGCGGGAGGCGGCCCAACAGAACTGTTATACAACTGGTACAAGCTTTTTTGTCAAGAAGGAAAGAAATGTGGCTACCTAGTCAATGGCTCCAAAAGATAGCTGATAGCAAAGCCCGGGTAGTAAAGACACAAGATCTAGCAGATGAGGCCGAATTGGTGTTTGGAGAGGGGGTCAGAATAACAACGGAAGGTCAACGACACCTAGGAGCAGTCATTGGATCCCAGGGGTACAAAGACCAATAATGTATTGGAAAAGTTCAGGGATGGAGGGAAAGCATCGAGTTGCGGGCTGAGATCGTAAAGAGTCAACCCCATGCCGCCTACACAAAGGGCTACAGATCGAAGTTTGCATATTTTATACATAAAATTGACTCATTTAAAGACTAGGTGGAACCAACTGATAAAGCGATCAACAGTATTTTCCTTCCAGTTCATTTTGGTCAGACGGAACCGCTCCCTGATGAGTTGCAAGAACTATTCACAAGGGGGTCTGGGGTCTGGAGCCCCACCTCCTACCGATGGACATTGACGTATTCAACCTAAGCTTCCCCGTCACAATTCCTGAGGCTAGACTGGACATAAAGGCAGGAAGTTTCTGGTCACGAGGAGAAACATAATCAGTCTTCGATGAATGTTGTGCATCTGAACTCAACGTGTATAACCAGAACAAATCCAAAAAAATCGATTTTCGTGGAGCAAAGAGAAGAAAAGGAAGTACCAACAAAGAGTTATGGTCGTGGAAATGGGATCTTTCCTCTTTCCTACTTTGTGTTGTTTATTTTTATTCATTCTCTCTTCCAGTTTGGACAACCGAAATTGTCTTAAAAGATTTGTGTTAATTGCCGGGGAAGGCGCGGGAAATTCACTGATCAAAACAGTGCGGGCTCTTTCTTTTTGTCACGTAATACTTGCTGGTAAATCATCTTGATCGAGAGTGACAGAGATCTTCGAACAACTTGTATTTGAAAAAAAAAAATGAACATGGAGGAGAAAAATATAGTTATAGAGACAAGCAGGACCCTCTGAAAGCCTTTGGGAGGCAAAGAAGGGGATTCTAAGCAAATATTGTCTGGTCACGCAGCATACATTATAGTTTGGCGTAGGTCAACGGCGGTTAGTAAAACTAACACTATTCTTCTTTGTAATACTATTCTTTTTCTGAGGTTGTAGCCTAAACTTCATGAACTTTTTAAGGGCTTAATTTCTTTATCGCTAGAGGGAAGAATTTTTCATCAATGTTGTTTTTAGATGTATGAGTTGACGTTGCTTTCATGACTGGCATATACTGGCGTGATTCAAAGCTTGTCAACAGCCATGCACCAAGTGGCCTTGAAATCTCCCTTAAAACAGATTGGTCTTGTCACAGTAGAGACCATAACACTTGTCGAATGAAGGACTTCTGTATAGTTTAACTTCTAAGAAGAATAATTTCTGATTTTGTGAGAAAATCAAAACGAGGTCACAAACATTACGATTTTGCCTTCGATACTTTGGTGACATACATCACTAATCAGTGTGAAATTTTTAACTTTCTCGCAAAATCTCGAACGTTTTAAGCATGCATTTAACTCCCCAATTATTATTCTTGTATAACGTGC